GAAGCACAGGTGGAAAAGGCTTTTTTCCTTCCCTCTGATGAACGCATCCTTAGAATAGACAAAACAATGTTGAAATAAGAAATTAGAACTACAGTCATAGAGAAGAACAAGTTTGTAGCTGCTGAGATAAAGACTACAGTTTCTGGAATGTAAGTATCAGAGCAGGACAGGGCTAACAGAGGGACATTGTCACAATAAAAATGATTGATAACATTGGAAGAACAATAAGACACAGAGAATACACAAGATGAAACCATAATAGCTGTACAAAAGCCATAGAGRTAGGTGAGGGACACCAGCAGAAGGCTGATCCTCTGAGATACCACYGCCGTGTAAAGCAGGGGGTTGCAAATGGCCACATAGCGGTCATAGGCCATCACGGCCAGCATGAAGATCTCCGCTACAATGAAAACGAGGAATGCTCCCAGTTGGGTGGCACATTCATAGTATGAAGTGGTTTTCTTACTTACTAAGAAGTTGACCAGCATTTTAGGGGCAATGACAGTAGAGTTTCCTAGGTTGATGACAGCCAGATGTCGGAGGAAAAAGTACATGGGGGTTTGAAGTTGAGAGTCAACRGTGGTGAGGGTGATGATGCCCAGGTTCTCCAACACAGTCAGCCCATAGATAACCAGGAAAACCAGGAAAAGAGGAATTTGAAGTTCTGCCACTTCTGAGACTCCTATGAGAACAAACTCAATAACCYGTGTGATATTTTCAGGATCCATGTAGGAGTTGGAATTGTGTCTGTTTGGGGTAGAAAACAAGTGGTTACAACCTTAAATATTATTTTCTGAGTACWATTAAATGTGGCAGCAAGCCTTCCTTCAATCATGCATTGATATTGTTTAGTTATTACTATTCAAGCTCTAGGTCTAGGAATTAAACCTGCAATGTTATGGAGTGAGGAAAAATATAATGAGGAAAAGATATGGCCTGGCATCCTGTGACATTTTGAGGTTTTATYTCCTCACAATTTTATTGAATTAAGAAGATGTTCTTAGCTTGCAAACTCTGAAGCCTTGATTCTTAACCATGTGTTATGATGTGTGATATAGTCTTAATGAATTGTTTCATTCTCAATAATCCAATGTTTCTCTGAAAGTACTTGATTTGAGTCCTTGTGGTTTTCCTCAAGCATAGATGATTCTAGACACTCTTGTACCCCAGTTTGTGTATTCTGTCCTTTTATATAATTTKAGCTAGATGTATGTTTGACTTGCATATTTTACCATCCCTGTCTCTTAGAAATTTGGTTCTTATTTTATTAACTCAGACAAATATACATGAAGTCATGTCTCTAGGAACAGATWTCAGATTGCAAATTTTAAAATTTTAAATATTATATCAGTARACACTGGATCATTCTTATAATTCCTTGACATTATTCTTTACTAAATACTGCTTCAACCTGTTCATTCTTATTACTGTTTTTCATTTTGTTCTACATACCTATGTAGTTCTTCACATTTTCCTTCCACTTTTTATTTTTTATTGATCTATTCTTTTTTTTATGTGCTGGAAATTGAACCCAGTGCCATGTTCATGTTAGACAAGCATCACTAGGTTACAACCCAATCATCTGTATTTTTATTTTTCATCATAACTTTAATTATTATTTTTATTATTTGGATAATAAGATAAAATATRCCAAATCTTAATTTTAGTAATTTTAATTAACTGGTTTCAGATTTTAATATTGTTATTTTTGTTATGACAGTAATAGTAAATATCTTCATTTTGTACAGTTTCTTTAGTAATTATAACATATATTATTATTGCTATGCYACTTTAATATGGTGAAACATTTACCTATAATCACTTCCTATTTTATTTTATATTTTTAGTGTGACAAGACTTGAACTCAGGCACTTGACAACTGAGCTACATCCCAGTCCTATTTTGTATTTTATTTAGAGACAGGGTCTCACTGAGTTGTTTAGCGCMTTGYTTTTGCTAAGGCTGGCTTTGAACTCCTGATCTTCCTGCCTCARCCTCCTCAGCCACTGGGATTACAGGTGTATACCACCACACCCAACTGATCACTCAGTGTTTTAATATTGTTATATGTACAGTCTATTTTWAAAATGATCACTTGCACTTAATTAGTTGTATTAAACACTTTTTGGGGACACAATTGTTAGTGCCTGACCCAAGAAAGTCATATCTATTTATTCATGTCTATTTGTTTTTSATATCATATTGTTCTTTTTTCTTTTCTTCTTYTTTTTTYTTAACCCAGAAGTGTTTTACCACTGAAMTACATCACCAGAMTGAGATGGAGTCTTRCTTAGTAGCTTGGGCTTAGCTAAATTGCTGAGGCTAGTTTTGAACCTGGATCTCCCTGCCTCAGGCTCCTGAGTCACTGGGATTACAGGCCTGCACTAGTGCAACCAGCAGTTATCTATTTCAAAGTTTCTCATCTAAACCTATGGGGTTATGTTTCAGAGAGAGTGAAGATTATTTCATCATACATGTCTGTAAATGCCCAGAACTGTTGTCATTTTCTCTTTCTAAAAATAAAGGAATAGAAAAATTTACTCAGTTATGAAAAAAATTAATACAATTACAATGTACAATGAAGTAATGAAATAAGACCAATAGAAGGCCTGCCATAATTTATTATTTATGTTATGTGTTTGCATCTGACAACATACATCATTCCTTTTCTTGGACTCTTTGACTTATATTTATATTTATTAATTAATCAGATATTTATTGAATTTTATTCTGTGCCAGTAAATGTTCAAGCTTCACATAAATCACCCATTTGTCACCTCATAGACCTGCAATTCCAATTCCACRGAACAGAAAAATTCTGCTAAGAAAACATAAACAAGATAATTGCAGTGTGTATTAAATGTAATGAGCSTATTAAGTATAATGAGTTAATTCAACAAGAAGATGCATTAACATAACCTGGGAGAATTATTTCATATGGGATATCAGGGAAATCTTTTTCTGAGATAACCATAACCTAAAAGACAGATKGAATCAACTATTTAATGAGTCAGAGTGAGAACATTCCATGACTCCAGGCAACAGTGAATATGTAGCAAAGGCTACTCTGGAGTGGAAAATAAAACTTAGGGTTTTTCTGTGTGTAAAGTGGAGCATAATGGAAGAGACCATGAGTAGGACAGGAGAAGAAGAGAATTAGTAGAATCAGATAATATGGATCACCATTGCTTTTCTTTAAACCACAGAGAAATTTCAAGATAGATGAATGATAACGATTAGCTTTGAGTTTTAAAAAAATGAAATATTAAATAAAAATTTTAAAAATACACTTGCTGTTATGAGGGTGATGGATTATGGGAATTGGAAAAGACCAGAGGTGGAGTATGAATGAAAATTTTAAAAAATAAAAAAATACAAAACTACAGGGTACGAATGGAATTCCTAAAGTGGAGCCAAAAGTGGAGAAGCTTGGCATTGAGAAAAGTTGCTAAATTTGCTGCACCTAGAAACAAGATGTTCCCCTCAACATAATTCGTATGATGAGTTATATGAGAGATWCAAAGAATAGACCATTGTGAGGTTGTTTTTAGCAATTGAGCAAGTGTGCAGGGCATTTTTAAATATTATAGAATGCAGTTTTAGAGGGAGTGATCAAAGTGACATTTCCAAGATATTATACCTTRTGTGTTTATGGAGCATCTATTAAACATTTAGCAAACAAATGGTAGAATCTAGAGCATACTTATGCTTAAATGAACCAAGGGCAAACCAGTACATGTGTATTTTCTTCTTGGGTTTTATTTCCCCTTTGAATGTGTCATAGAGGTTTTGTCTAATCAAATGAGGAATCTAGATTTCCATAGCTAAAGTCCTCCATGTGCTTAGACACAAATGCCTCTCCTCAAGTGGAACTCCATAATTTTTAACATCTAATTTAAGCCCTCTTTCTAATCTGTCATGAACTAAAGTGTTTACAGATTTRTTTTACTGCAAGAAATCTGCTTTATCAAAATACTTTGCCTTATGGCATTGATTATGAAGTATGCAGCTCTCTGTATTTGCCTGTATGTGATCAGATTTAATTGAAAATTTCCCTAAGAAAATTATTGATTTAAGTTTATAGTCTCAAGAAGGGACCTAATTTTGCATTTGGAAAGTCACAYATTTTCTTTATAATTTTATAATTTCAATGTTATAAGCATAAAAYTTTTATTTTAGATAATATAGCAACAATGAAATTATGATATATACATTCTCAATGAGGAAAAATGARTTATTTTTCTARTTACACAATTTATTAAATATGAGACATTACAATAGCTCTAATTTGGAAAAAATAGATTGTATTTGACACCTGTTATTAAAAWCCATTAAGTATTATTAACAAACCATTAAAGTATTGTATTACTTGATTATATGAAATGCATAGTATTTTCCAAAATCAAAGTGGAGTGGCACATTGTAAGACACAGTTTGGATGTTTTTAAGGCCCTTATGCAAAAATCAGGTAAACYATTTTCTACCCACCTGTAGTGGACAATCTTTTAGGGTTCCAGTGTGAGTCTCTACATGACTTCAGCAGTGAGTTTGTGTAGCTCTATATACCTTGGCCCTAACTGAGGCACAGGTGGCTCTAGGACCTACACATCACTAGTTAAATCCTTGGAGAAGAGGCCACCTAGGATTGGCTCCTAAACAAGGTCGGCCTCTAGGAATTTACCCAGATGCCCYTTGGGTTTTCTCTGTGGCAGTCTGAGCCTCTATTATTGAACTGTGTTYGAGTTCGTGTCAGCTGAGTCTCACGGTAAATGAAGTGAGTCTCAGAGCACTTTATTTTCAGGCAGAGATCCATGATGGAAACTACCAGTATGGAAGAACTAGGAATGAATGGTCTAGCATCCCACACAGAACAAACTATATGTACAAGGAAAATGCCTATCATGCCCACCTTATGTTGGCATTATATCCTCTTTATACTTCAATAACAGAATCAACATTAATATCATTTCCAGAAATGGGGTAAAGTGGATGTTTATGGCCTCCAAAACAATCCTCATGTAATAAAATCATTCTTTTACTCTTTATGCTTCATTTCAGCTGAGAAGAGTAGACAACTGCTAGAGAAGAATCACAATATCTAAAAGCAAAAGCCCTATGTCGTATTGGAAGATGACTGTAAATATGTTGATGCATAACTACGTTTGTAAACACCAGATATTTTATATATGCATCTTTGTACATACATTATCTAATACAAATACTTCAGGTAAATTATCTGCATGGGAAATTAAGCTCACTTATACAAGAATGTTGTCCTTTACAAGCTTTAATTTAATCCTAGAACTGACAATGTGAGGCATGATGACATGTAWATAAAGCATAAATATATACACACTGCACATTAATGTATATGTGTAAGAACACAAGAAAAAGCAGTCACGTTAAATAGCCTGATGTGTTTATTTGATAGTGATGGCTGTGATTCCATAAAAAACTAAAGATGAAAGATGTATTAATTTTTGTGGAATGCCAATACAAAATGCCAGACAAGGGTAGCTTAGACAGCAAAATATTTCTCATGGTTTYGGAGCCTGGAAGTCTAAGATCAAGGTTTCCACCTTCTTTGGATTACACATGGCCATCATATTACTGTGCCCTCACCTGGTTTTCCCTGGTCTRTTTGTGTATTGGGTGTTTCTCCCTTTCTCTATCCTAATCTTCTCTTTTTATAAAGACTGGTTTAAATGGGTTAGGAACCAGTCAGATG